ACGGTTAGTATATAGCGACGGAAAATTCCGTCGTTAGCTATATAACCGTCGCTATAAATTAGCGACGGATTAGCCGTCGCTAAAGGTAGATTTACCTACCCTGATAATAGTGATGGAGTTTTAGCGACGGAAATTCTTTTTTTCCGTCGCTAAAACTTTTAGCGACGGATTTTGGACTTTTGGCGACGGATTTGTCCGTTGCCAATAGTCCCCTTTGCAGTAGTGATCAACCACTTTGTTGAGTACGAGCATATTGATCTATGCCTCCACTTTGAAACATTACATGGCTATAGAACTAAAATTTGTAGAAGTAGCACCTTTCTATTCTTTTCCCCCATCATACAAAATTATTACTTTCTTCAATTCAGTAGATCTAGCCTCCTTTACAGAATCTGTAGGCATATAAAATTGCTTATAGGTCCCTTAATACAGCTTGGCACAAACCGACGAACCAACGAGGCGACGAGATCGACGAATCGCACGCAAGCAACGGAATACGTCCATTCGCGTGCGGGATCAAGCCAAGTGTTCGAAGAGTCAACGAGTCATCCAACCAAGGGCATACTCGGACGAATTACGATCGAATCAAGATCAGTTTCGGACTCGAACTCAGAAGTGGATTTACTGCCAAATCAGGAATCCGACTTACTGCCAAATCAGGAATCAAATCAGAGTCTGGATCAACCGAATCACGGACAGAACCCAAAGGTGGAAAACAGCAGAAAACCAAACACCCGGAGGGGCTCGGAAACCAAGTCACCGAGGCGGCTCACCGAGCCACCAAGGTGGCTCGGTGGCCGAGCCACCAAGTGGTGGCTCGGCCGAGCCACCTAGGTGGCTCGGTGGCCGGCCATCCTCTGACACGTGCACGCGGGCACAGTAAAGGTGGCCTATAAATAGGAGAGGGGGTTGTTCATTTGAGAAGGTTGGATTTTGGAGGAGGCGAAGCCCTGCAGGATTGGAGACTCAGATCTAAAAAAGATCTCAACTTTGGGACATCAAGGACTTGCTCATCCAGATCTGGTGCTCGGCGATCATCAACGTCAAATAAGGCAGGTGTTCGAGAGGATCGGATCTCAGATCTACGTTGCTACACTCCGGATCTAAGCTTGGTCTTAGATCCCGAGACTTGGACGATTGTTTCCTTGGTGAAACAATCCTCCCCGGCTATTATTTCCTTCGTGAAATAATACCCGTTGTACTGCGTAGATCCGACCGGATCTAGATCGCGCGGTGGTCCACGGCAAACAACCCCGGCGCAGGCAAAGAACCCACAAAGCGAGCGACCGCAAAACAGGAGCTCGCGATTCGTTCGACAAAAAAGGAAACAAAGTTGTAATTTTCATTTCTTTTCAATTTGATTTTCGTTGTAACCGGATCTTATAAAAAGATCGGATCTTTGTAATCGATAGACTATTACAAGAGTGTACAATGGAATCATTAATGAAGAAAGCCACGATTTTCCCCGCGAACAGAATCTTCAGTATTTGGTTCAAAATAAGATGAGCTTGAAGAAATCTAAAGCAGCACTTCTTCCACCAAAGTCGTTAAAGAATCCATATGTACCTCCAACCTAGCCATCCGCAATGTAAGATCATCTTTTTGCCATCAGCTGAGGCATTTTCCATAGTCGTTGCTTTAGATCTTTATTTGATCTATTTCTAAAGTCATATAATCTTTATCGAGTTGCGACCATGTGCAGTAAATGCTCATGGTAGGATCTTATTTGCTCTGGTACCAATTGATCTAACTAGCATATAAGATGGAGCAATAAGAAGGTACAAGAGAATTATAACCGCGAGGAATAAAAAACAAAGATAAAATTTTGAAACAGAGCGAGCAATGCTTTTCTCCTAAGATTTTCTTCTTTGCTTCTCAACTAATGTGATTTACAGATTATAAATCTTCTCTTAAAATAGAGATCTCAAATCTAAATAACACTCTGATTAAAGTTACTATATGAATATAACTTGCTATTTAAATAGAATTCTCCTGCAAAATTTCTATTTAAACAACAATCAATATGAATATGACCTTATCTCCTAATCAATTAGGACTCCTCCTAAATATGGAATTACAAGCTCCTAATCAAGATAGGACTCATATATAACTCATATCCTACAAACTTCTAGTTACAATAGGACTAATGCTCCTAGTCACGAGATGACACATGCTCCTAATTACAATAGGACTCATACTTCTGATACAAATAGGACTCATACTCCTAGTTGTAATAGGACTTAATCTCCTAGCTGTAATAGGACTCATACTCCTAATTACAATAAGACTTGTTCTCTTAATAGAGTTTAGATTCAATACTCCAAGTTGTGATAGGACTCATACCCCTTGCTATAATAGGACTGTACACGATGCTACAATTTCAGTTGTGAGAATGGAAAGTTCCTACTGGATCAATACATGATTGCAAAAATAAAGAAAACTAATATATAGTAAAAGTAGGTATATAGCAACAAATACTCAGTGGAAGCAATAATACATATAACTAAAATAGCCAAGTCCCACATTTAGCTGAATAACATAGAACGATATCACAGGTGTGTTAGCAATGTCATCCACATAAACATAATAAAAATAAGGCCGCCCAACCATACTAGTCTAAATTATCAACTAAAATAAGTAAGATACACTTTCGTAACTTCATAACAGAGGAGGACTAAATCATAGTCTAAAAGAAGATAAATGTTGATAACCAATAAGCTGGATGACAGACAAGCTGAAAAATAGAACTAGTGGATAACATGACAGATCAGCTAATAGATGAAACCCCATCTCTAGTGGTTGTTACTAAAGTCTCGAGTGCCTGAAACCAAAGGGGATGTTCACAGTTTTACCACTCGCGTGCAAACCAGGACGGTCAGAAAACCGTCTACCAAGTGAACAAAGTGGCTTGTGCATATGTAATAGGTATAATGAATGCATAATAAACATAAGAAAGGCTTTATACTTGCATCACATTACTTCTCACGATGATTAGGAAACACGCAACATAAATCCAGACGCAAAACAAAACTAGCAGAAAAACAAATACAAACGCAAGCAACATAGATCAGAAGAGCGAGTGTGCGCCTAGATCCTTAAATGTGATGCATAAGTTAGTATGTGAAACTAACTACTTATAGATTTTACTTAGTCTTGTTTGGGAAAGCTCTCACTAAATAATGTTTGTTTGGTGCACAAGTTGGAAATGTTACTTAGATTCTTACTTTACTTGGTTTTTGTGCACAGAACTTGTCTAGCACTGGCACTCAAACACAACGCCGGGCCACCCATTATCTATGAGATATCCAATTCCTTCCTGATATAAGTTTGTGGTAGGTGAAAATAACGGGCCTCCACTCACAGGTGTAATATATTTCAAGCCAAATTTCTTGATTTAAACAGAATATATTCTTAATTTACTATCACGAATGACAAGCCTAATATCTAGATATAAGCAATTATCATCATCATGTATAAACCATATCATGGTGCCTAATCACCAGGGCAATCACCAGGGCCAAGTCTCATTAAAATGTACCGAGCAAAACAAAGGTCGAAGGTATCACCTAGGCTAACATTCCAACATGTATAATGTTTATGGATTCTAAGTCACAGCATAACATGACATATGTGATAATATAGCAATAACTATCTTCGCTTGAATCTAAACATGAATATAGCATGCTCTTGAGAAACCTAACATAACCAAAATTACTTCACTTAAATAACTACTTTATCTAACCTTTTGTGGACCCCTTCTATACATAATGAAATGAGTTTGACTACAACAGACCAAGCATATTAAAATAAGTGGGTTATGAGGAAGTAGTTAGAGCCATGCAGTTGTAATTATATGCAATGATTGGTTTAATTGTTTATTGCTCCGTAGATACTTCATGACATTTTTTTAGATATTTATCTAGTATTTGATGGTCATGTTTGAGCCAAGATTTGCTTTTCATTTGGATATTGAAGTTTATCTATTTAGTGGACTTGGTACTTGGTCAATTGTTATATCTTTTTCTTTGTTTCCGCTTGATATTCACTAGTACAAAACAGGTCAGCCCAAACGGTTGGAACCGTTTGGGAAAACCCCCTCCCAAACGGTTACAACCGTTTGGGCGAGGTTAAAAGCCCGTTTGGGCTAAAGCCGTTGGGGACGAGTTGTCCCCAACGGCCGCCCAAACGGTTGTAACCGTTTGGGCAAAATCCCAAACGGTTACAACCGTTTGGGATGTTGCCCAAACGGTTACAACCGTTTGGGGTGTAAAAATTTGCCAAACGGGTGTAACCGTTTGGCCAAATGTTAGCCCAAACGGTTGAAACCATTTGGGCAATTTTTCGTCCAAACAGTTTCAACCGTTTGGGCTATTTATTTTAATAGTTTTTAAATTTTGACTTCTTTATTTATCTACTTGTTTATATACACATCTCACACAATAAGTACTCAACATCTCACAATGAAATCAAAATATTCTCAAACTTTGATAAATATCCAATGTTATATATTCATACACAATGTTTGCTCAATATACAATAAGTACTCAACATCTCCCAAAAGGAAAGGAAACAGAAAAACTATCACTAAATCCCTGAAAGATTTGGCCCGAGCAAATCTCTGTGCGCTTATGTGTGAGATCACGAGGCAAGTGTACAGATTGAGTGCAAACATCAGGAGACAATTGACGATTAAAATACATGGAACAGATAAACCCCAGGGCCAAAAAGAATCAATCATCGGCTTCTCCCAGAACATCCATGGAACAGGGAAGAAAGTTGAGCTGGAGCAATAAACGACAGATCTTGTTAAAAACACATTTCTTAATGATTGAATAATTAGAGATGAAGGTGTACCAGAAAAAATTAATACAGAACATGGCAGAAATTGAGTTCAGCCAGACCCCACCATATACTCCTAAATATTGGATAACAATTAGCCTCAACACTTCACAGATAACACTGCCTATCTGATAGCCCACCCCACGCCAGCTAGAACTTACTTCCCCATAAGATGCCACTATTACTCCAAGGGTGATGGTAGACAATAGCATTTTATATTGAGTTGCCCCATTCTCAAAAACATTTTCAAGTACAGCGACCGCTATGTGAACTGCATTAACCAATAGAACAACATTCAATAATTCATCTGCTATTGACCTGTAATGTGGTACTTTAGATGGACTAGCTAATTTCTTTTAATGATGAAAAGAATCACAAAGTTGGGACTTACAAGTAATCTTAAGCACCTGCATAAAAGCAACGGAGGTGTAGAAGTATGCACTATTTCTCAGCCAAAGACTCAAAGCAAGAGCTCCAAAAATGCAATGAATTAACAATCCAAATCTGAATTAGAATATTTTTTTCTGTACATCAGTACAAAATATTTAAACAAAACTCAGATATTTGATATAATGAAAGAAAACTAGTCAACTAGGAGAAACCCATACAAAACTGATCAAGCTAGTATAAAAATTAGTAAACTCCTTTAAATTGATTTTCTTATCTTTTGACATCTCTAAAAACAGATCCAACTATCCATATGTTTTTTCCCTATAAGTTATGAACGGAAGCATCCTACCTCATATTTCTCTCATCTGGGACAAGATATAACATGTAATATTTTGATCAATAATGAAATAAAGTGAACCAATTAATTCAGCATGCAAATAACATCGAATAGAACTCCATTAAGGACCATTTTGTTCGGGTGATTGTTTACTAGAAACTTCAATAAAAAAATATCAATACTTTTGGCTCTCTTCTGCCTTTCATCATATCTCACTTCAAAGTGCAAATTTATCTCCATATAGCTTTGCTGTACAGTGTACATAAATAGACAACATAAGATTTATAGCTTTCAAAAGATAAACACGTTCTGTATGACAATTTATTTTCTGAAATAAAAAGAAGAGAGAAGTAGGAAAAAGCAAAATAGAAGGACAAGAAGGGAGACTCTATATGCAAATCATTGGCAGTCAGTGCTTACTTTCTATTTTGCATTGTTTCCTTAAAATTCCTATTCCCTGGATGCTCAATTCCTCTGGCCTGAGGACAAAATAGATAGTAAAAGAGGCAAACATAGTGAGAGCTCGAAGGAGATTTAGGAAGAATCAATAATCACCAGTTGAAAGCTACTATAAGTATTGTAATAATCCTGATGGAAGTCACTGGTGATCAAAATAAAACATACCTTCATGACCTTCAGAGTTATCAAGCATAATGCAGAGGAGAAGGCCATTTGCAGGAAGCACAATCCCACTGGATAGGGAAACTTGATTTATTCAGATGATAACAGCAGCTGCAAGTATAAACCAGAAGCTAGTCATTGGCGGTGTATGAACTATGAAGTTAAAAGGTGCTGCATTTCTTCCTTTGGAAGAGCATTCAACATGAGAAAAGAATAATTCAAGCACCAACCATAAGAAGTGATCTAAAAAGGGAGTTGAAGGCAAAAGGCAAAACACTCGAAAATTAATTGACCTAGCTTATTCAAGGTCATGACAAACATTTATGGCTTCTTTTTAAATATGAATGATAGTCTTCTAACTGTTCTGGCAATAAAATTTCTGAAGTTTAATTAGAACAATGACGATAAAGAATCAATGCTTTTGAAAAGTATTTGGGAAACCATAACAGAGATAAATCTGATGTTCCTCTATTTTTAGCAGAAAAGTCATGTTCTTCCCCAATATTAATAGAACTAACAGGGCCACGGTTCAAATCAATCTTAGTTGTCCCCACTGCTAATGAACTAAGAAACCTAGATTTTCCTTCAATTTCAACCGGAAAATTTACAAAATCAGCAATTTCTTTAACAAGAGATCATGCTTACACAAATTTGTCAGCAAAATAGGATCCCTATTACCGCAAACTCGCCATTGGACCCTTCTCTGTAGCTCTTCTGTGAAAATAAAGGAAAGAAATCGCACTTAATTTCGTCAAAGCTAGGGCTTTTAAATTTGAAAGAGAGAGGGAGCCAAGTGAACTATGAGATACCCATATTGATCGTCAGCCCTCTTCAAACCTTCAAGAAATAAATAAGATTTAAGAAAGAAGAGTTAAAAAAGAAAAAAAAGGGGGGAGTTTTAGGGTTTGATTACTGTTCTTGGGAGCTCGATTCTCGTCGAGGATTCCAGTGGGAATGGCTGATTTGTTTCTTTTTACCCTAATTTAAAAGAAAGAAAAAGAACCTGATGAAGACGAGGAGAATGGAGGACCTGATGAAGACGAGGAGAACGGAGGAGATGCATATGAAGATGACGTGGAGGCGGCGGTGGGAGCGTAGGAGGAGGAAGAAGATGGCAGAGGGATTTGAGAGATTTGGGTTTGAGATGACGGATTTGAGGGGATGGGGTTAAGGGGCGCGGGGATTTTAGATTTTGGGGGAAATTTTTGGGGGGAAGCGGAAGAGAACGGAGAAAAATATGTTTTTTTAAAAAAAAAACTAAATCATCCAGACGGTTGAGACCGTGGGCTACATACGGGGATTTTAGATTTTGGGGGAAATTTTTGGGGGGAAGCGGAAGAGAACGGAGAAAAATATGTTTTTTTTGAAAAAAAAACTAAATCATCCAAACGGTTGAGACCGTTTGGGCTACATATTCCAAATGGTTAAAACCGTTTGGGGGTTGTGTTTGGGATTTTTTAACAGTCCAAACAGTTTTAACTGTTTGGGTTTTGTTATCCCAAACGGTTAAAACCGTTTGGGCTATTTTTACTTGCCCAAACGGTTCTAATAACCGTTTGGACTGTCCTGTTTCGTACTAGTGATTTTGTGTGATGTATAGATTGTTGTGATGAGACTTGTACTTTAATGTATATTTATATTATGAGTTGTTATGGATGTAAAACAAAACTGGTTACATGGTATATAAAAAAACTTTATATTTTTGGTTTTTATAAATTTTTTTCCTACCAAGTCATTTCTCATGAGCGGGGAGTCACAGGGTTTAGTTGTATTATAGCCAAATCTTGATATATATCCCAATCAAATATAATATCATATCCAACACAATACATTACATTGTCCATTCCTTTATTCTTATCTCCATTGGAATCCTTACTATTTTTTATGATAGCTCAGGACTATGTAAGACATGGCTAGGGGTACACGATCAAGCAATGCAAACACAAACACAAATGCAAATGTGAATAGACAGGATTCAACCAAGATATTTGCAGTTTTGCAAGCGATTCTTGAAGCTGAGAAAATGAGAGCAGCTTTATAAGTAGATGGAAGAGGTGGGGGTAGCTAATGAGAGGCATGAGGCATTGCTTCAATAGCAAATTTAGAATGCTCTTAATCAATTAGCAACAATTCCGGTGGAAGGAAATCAGAACTCGCGTAGGTAATATGATGGATTTCTAAATATTGCAATTAGAGAAGCTTTCTAGAGTTTTTTTAGCAAGTTCAGCTTAAGATTGGCTTGAGGAGATGAAGGATTTTTTGATGCAACCAAGGTACCCTATGTGAATCGTGTGAAGGTGGTGAAGCTTTAGTTTGTCAATCAAGATAGGTCATGGTGGATAATGGATGAAGCTCGTGCAAATGGATTGATAACATGGGCAGCTTTCACTAAGATTTCTTGAAGAAGTATATGTCTAAAGTGACACCGATGGGGCTTCAATGCCTGTTTTTGGATCTGATTAAAGAGAATTGATCAGTGGATGAAAGCTTTAGAGTTCAAGAGACTCAATTAGTATGCGTCAAGCTGGACCGGAATCGACAAGGATCCTACTAAATATTTTCTAGACAGGCTAAACTATGAGGCTAAGTATCATATCATCAATAGAGATTAACATACAATGAGGTACAGGAGGCAGCTCAACTATTTAAGCAGATGACAACATTAGATAGGACTAGAGACGTTATTGCAAATACAACCACAAATGGAGAACATTACAATTGATGGAGTTATAAAGCAAGCCAAAGGTATCAACAATACTAGACAACCCAAACATCCAAATGTGACACATCAACCATCAACAAAGCAAGCTAAGCCGATGTGTGACTTTTGCAGGAAGTACAAGAACAGTGTGGAGCATTGTTGGAAGGCTCAAGGGAGGTGATATACGTGTGGAGTTACAGATCATATGGTCGGCATTTATCCTAACCCTTTAGCTATTATCCTAGTACAACCTATGAATTAATAGGCGAATAGCAAGGAAATTGTACCCTACCAAGGAAACCATACAAGCACTTTGTCTCCTCAAGTGAAAGAAAGTGTAGAACAATAATGCTAATCAGAAGAGTGAAGCTGAGGAATCTCATGGTTAGGGGTATCCTTATGCCTTGTCGACCGAGGAAGTTGAAGCAGTGATGTGGTTGCATGTTTTATTCTTGTCAATAGGATATACTTGAACATGTTCTTTTCAATTTTGGTGCATCTCATATTGTTTCATTTCTACTAAGTATGCGAATAAAAATTCTATTCCATATCATAAATTATCCAAGGGATGGAATATTATAATAGATAGTGGAATCTTATCAGATAGAGAATATCATACATGTCCCATAACGATATGTGGCAAGAACTTTATGCCAACTTCTTTGTGATGAACTCAAAGGGTTATGCCGTTATGATGCCATATTGGGCATGGACTGGTTAGGTGTTTTTCATGTATATATTGATTATCGTCAAAGGAGGGTAGTGTTTACATTGCCAAATTATCTAAAATTTAAATTCCTAATGAGAAGTAAATCAATTGATCCACCAGAATATCGAGCTGTATCAAAAGGGTTGTTGACCCTCCTGAGTTTAGAAGAAGGAGATGTAGCATCAGAGGAGGAGAAGCCATTTTCTCTAATTGTGTGAGTTTTTAGTCATGTTTCCTGATGATCTACCAGGATTACCCCCTCATCTCGTACCGGGAATGATGCCTATGTCAAAATCAGCTTATCATATACCGCCTAAAGAACTTGATGAGTTGAAGGTTTAGATTGAGAAGTTGCCCAGCAAGGACATCATCAGATCAACTGTTTCAGCGGAACCCCAGTTTTGTTAGTTTGAAAGAAGGATGGTAGTTCCAAAATATGTATCGACTATCAGGGGTTGAAGTGAGTCACCATCAAGAATAAATATTCATTACCAAGAATCATTGATCAACTAGTAGGAGCAACCACTTTTTCCAAACTTGAATTTAGATCTGACTATCAAAAATTGAGGGTGAAGAAAGAAGACATTTAGAAGACAACTTTGAGGACATTTCGAAGACAGCTTTTAGGATGCGTTATGGGTGTAAACCCTGTAAATTTGAATATATAGTGATAAATATTATTTATTGATGTTTGAGTATGCTAGGAATTAATTTGAGATCAATCCAATGTATATATGTGAGGGTACAAGAGAATCATGCTCGAATCATGCACAAACAGACTGATTTAAGTCTGTCTAGTCGACTACTACTGTTAGTAGTCGACTACTAAGGTCATTAGTTGACTAATAAGGATAATAGTCGACTATTCGGGCTGATTTCCAGATTTCCTAATGGGTTTCGGGTCAGTTTGGGACCCAGCTTCATATATGTGTATAAATACCCTTTTTACACGAAAATTTCCTCTCTTTTAATTATATCTCTAAACCCTAAGCAGCCACCCTCTCCCCTCAAACCCTAGAACCTTTTTGTGGAGTTTCTCGAGGAGTTTGAGACGTGAAATCGAGTGGAGGGCGGGTTTTTGGGATCTTGGTTGAAGGGGGATCTACTCATACGTGCTTGAGGAGTTCAACACGACTATGAGGCAAGATCATCTTCATCAAAAACTACACATTTAAATAACAATTGATTTAATATGTTCCACTTCTTGTTTTCATGTCTAAATCTTTACCTGAGGTGTTAAAACTTAGATTTTTATTGTTAAATCTTAACTCATGCTAGATCTGATGTTAAGTCTTGCTGTCTACATTAGATTCATAATCAAGATCATTAGGGTGTTTCTAAAGTTTGTTTTTAACTTAATAATCATGCCTAAATCATATTTGAAACCCTAGTTTTGTTATTTAATTAAGTACATGATGATTAAAGATGTTTAAACCCTAGGTTTGTGATACCTAAGTAGTGTAATCATATATAAATGAATTTATCTTTGTTCATGTTTAGATTTTATCATGTTTTATTAGTTATGTTGATATTCAATGTGCTAAATTGAGGAAATTTATTAATTAGGAAGTTTTACCCAAATAGTGTCACGCCCCGCTTTCCAAAATACTGGGGAATCGGAACGTGAACAAGCCTGTGACA